CTCGATGAGAAAACAGAAGTTCTAACACAGTTGGCTTGCACTAGGTTACCTGGTGTTCTCTCTGCAACACCAGGGCACCTGAAATTCAGGGAAGGCATGTAAATAAAAGACACATCTCTCTAATTCTAGGCTTAGCCCAGTCTTTCCTAGACCAAAAAACGCTTAGGTCAGACCGGCTCTTAAGGTCAAGTGAAAACTCCTATCTGCTTCGGGGAAGGAGATGGTGTCCAGTGTGAATTTAAACTCTCCCCATGTTGAACTTTATTTTCAGGCTTCAGCACTTGAATTTCAGGAAAGAGCTGGGTCCTTTTTCAGGCAGAGTAATTGGGCATCTGCATGGTAGCATTTCACTTCACTTTAAATAATTCCTAGGCCGAGTATGGTGGCTCACATCTATAATCCCAGCATTTTGGGAGGCAGAGGTGAAAGGATCACCTGAGCCCAGGGGTTCAAGACTAGCCTGGGCAACTTGGTGAGACCTCATCTCTACAGCAAATAAAAAAATTAGCCAGGCATGGTGGCACGTGCCTGTAATTCCAGCTACTTGGAAGGCTGAGGCAGAAGGATCACCTGAGTGCAGCAGGTTGAGGCTGCTGTAGCCATGAGCATGCCATTGCACTCCAGCCTGGGTGACTGAGTGAAAATCCTACTCAATAATAATAATAATAATAATAATAATAATAGTAACATAATAATAATAATTCCTAGGCTGAATATTTTCAACTGCCATCAGTGATTTCTATTAATTGATTTTGGAATATTTTTTGAATTTGAAGGAAAGTCTGGGTGAATAGATGTGGAGAGTGTTTAAGGACATAATCCAACTCTGAGAATTCCACTGAGGCTGAATCGTAGCGAGATCAGCAACCCTGGGTTCAAATCCTCAGTTCAATCTCTAGCTATGGGATTTCAGGTCAGTTGCTTAACTGTGTCTACCACACAGAATTGTCCAAGGAGGTAAATATTTCATCTAGCCTGGGAGAGAAAGCACTTAGAAGTCGTTCCCCTTCTCCAGAATGAAATCTCTTTGGCCATGTGGTCACTAGCCAAGTCAGCACTGAAGATGTACCAGGGGTCAATTTCAACCCTTTTTCTTGCCTAATTCCTCACCCTTTCTGATCCTCATTTCCAATAGAAAGAGTAGATTTCTGGCAAGTTGAAATGGTGACATGGAGATGGGGTGGGAAAGTATTTTTGAGGCATGGAGACAGTTTTAAAGGGAATAGGAGGAACCAGTGAGTCCTAACAGTCCCATGGCAGGGCTCAGGGTGCCAACAGGGTCTCAAAGTTAGGTGCTGTTGCCAGGGTTCAGGGTACCCCAAAGGTGGAGATGGCGTCGGTGATTGGGGGAAAGGGGAGAGAGAGAGAGAGAGAGAGAGAGAGAGAGAGAGAGAGAGAGAAAGAGAGATCTAGTGCAGAAGTCATTTATTGGGAATTGCAACGGGTCTTTTATAAACAGTCAGGTGTGTGAGGGGCGTTCCCCACCCACCAGATGTTCTTCCAGGTATAATCCCATAACAGATGTTAAACCTAATCCATGAAACCTTAATCCATGACTGCCTTTAAACCCTTTTCGTACTGCCTATAAACCCTTTTCGTACTAATACCATGTTAAACAATTCTATAGAGACTTAAGTACCTACTTTACAAACTAAAGTGGCCCATTCCAGAATGTTTGGAATGTGGTCCAGTCCAAAGTTCACAGTGAGCTACCTGCAAGTAACCCAGCCGCATTCTTTCAACAAAATGGCTGTCTTCTAAAACTATATTCTACAATTTACACCTTATTCAACTTCAGTAAATCCTAAGATCATGACCCAGAAGCCTGTGACCAATACTAAGGCTCTCAGATGTGACCCGAGTTTGAATTGTAAGTTGTGTGAAAGCCAAAACTGCAGTTTGTGGAAGAATGGGAGCAATGAGCTTCTAAAGTTAGCTTGTGTTCGTCCCGGTCTCAGAGTTTTTATGTTTTGAGCTCACAGGAGCTTAATCTGGTTAGTGCTGAGTAGAACTGGGGAGGAAATAGGGTCAATAGCTCCCAAACGCATCCTAGTGGTCTCAGAGTCAATGGCCCTTCCTGATCCCTACTGCTCAGTGGGCCTCCGTGGCTGGCTCCCAACATGCTGTGGTTTGTCCAGGGAGGTGGGTTCCCTGCTGCAGTTGGGATTTCTTTACACCACAGGAAAGTCATTTGTCATCAACGGATTCCTGGCTTAGGACCACAGAGTATCACAAGAGCTGACAATTTTTCCCCATCCATCCAAAGACATCACAGGGCTATCTGAGCTCTTTCTGCTGCCATCTGAGATTTCACCTGCTGAGGTGTGGACCTCAGAAGCAACCCTATTGATAACTCTGATGGATTTTCCCAATAAAATGCTGAGAAGTAGGTTCAGAGTTAGGATTAACCTTCATTCAAATACCACTGACAAGTTTTCAGACTGAAAGTCACATGACTCATTGCCTGCTGTTGGTGAGTAAGAGCAAACTTTTTTTAATGCAGAGAACAAAATTCAAAATCCCCACTGTACTGTATTCACTCCGCTTTCCTGAAGACCCTCAGGTTCTTCTCCTGGGCTCCTGCTACTACCACTGTGTTCACAGCTAGTTCAAGTCCTCCCAACAATGTCTACTGCACAGGATGGCTGGGGGATTAAATGACAAGCTGTGCCCAGCACATGTTAATGTTCAATCAGTAGGACACTAACATCCTGCCTGTGTAACTTCCGAAGAAGCAATGCTTATTTCTCACCACAGTCAATGCCAAAGTTCACCCCAATGTCAATTTATGACAAGTGTTTTAGGAGCCAAAACATGTTTATTGGGAAGAGTTACCAGCACACTTTGGGCTCTATGGTCTTACTGAGGTTTGCTAAAGGCTTTCTCCTCGTCTGCTTTACTGGCAGGTGGCTGGCAAGCTGGAACTTAATCAGAATAATCATACAAGGTTCCAATAATTAAGTTCATGAAAAAGTGCTACATACCTCATGGCTGAATGTCACTATGGTCACCTTTGAGGTACTCCCTTTGGGAAGCTATACACCAACGCCAGCACCTAGTCCACCTGTCAAAGCAGTTTTGGAACTCTATCTGGAATGGCCATCAAAGCCGTCATCGTATTACCCTTGGTGTCCTGAATGTCATCAAATGTCTTCCTTTCAATATTTCCATTATCTTCAGGTGAAGAAAAAAAGTCATAGGGGGTCTGATCAGGTGAGTCAGGAGAATGTTCCTATACAGTTATTTGTAAAGTGTTGTACAGTGTTGCCAACATAAGCACTCAGTGGCAAGTTCATGAACTTAATTGTCTGACCTCAACAAATAATGATGACAGCTGTGATGGCCATTCCAGAAAAATAGTTCCAAAACTGCTTTGATGGGTGGACTAGGTGCTGGCATCGGTGCCTAGCTTCCCAAGGGAAGTACTTCAAAGGTGACCCTAGTGATAGTCAAGAATCAGGTATACAGCACTTTTTCTAGCCTAGTGATATTCAGGAATCAGGTATGCAGCACTTTTTCTAGGATGAGTTAATGAACTTAATTGTCATACCATGTCTCCCTTTCAAAGTGAGTTAGAAGCTGGCTGTCACAGGATCTCCACATGCAGAGAACAAAATTTTCAGGGTAGGTTCTGTTCTCAGGGTGGGTGTTTAAGTCAATCTATACATACTGTAAATATTCAGCTCAGAAGCTGCTAAAGTATGGCTGATGTCTGGAGAGGACTCTAAGCTATATTTTTCAAATATAAATTTTTTTTGGAAAGCAAGAATTCTTGATTCTGGTATTTACATTAACTAAATGCAGAGTAGCCAGGCGCGGTGGCTCACACCTGCAATCCAAGCACCTTGGGTGGCTGAGGAGGAAGGATTGCTTGAACTCAGGAGTTTGAGACCAGCCTAGGCAACATGGTGAGACCTTGTCTCTATAATATATCAAAAAAAATTAATGGGGCATAGTGGTGTGCACCTGTAGTCCCAGCTACTTGGGAGGCTGAGGTGGATGGATAGCCTGATCCCAGCCTGGGTGACAGAGTGAGACTCCGACTCAAAAACAAACAAACAAACAAACAAACAAAAAACAGCATATAGTCCAACAGCAATTGTGTTTTGATGAGAAAGAGGGAGAAGTTTATAGCAGAAATTATGCCTTTTAAGAAATTTTCTTATATGTTATGGAATCTAGCATAATTTCCTTCAACAGATTACCAGATGATCCTTACCTGAAGAGGTGGCACTAGTGGGATTACTTAACTTGCTGAATGAACTAATAAATGTAAATTGAGTGTTTAGGACAGTAGCTGACACATGTATGAATAAATATGTGTTTCTGCTTAGAATTGGATCAAAATCTTTCTCCGTGAAGCTTCTGAACCTAATTTGCTCATTACACAGGAATCAGGGATTCTGTGGTCTATGTTTTCTGAATATGAACTTTCTGAAATAGGGGTTAATAAGCTCTCTTCATGTGTATGTGTCTGGCATAGTCTTGAACATATTTTTACTTAATAGAAACCCAACAAACTTACTTATTTTTCTCAATTTATATGTCTGATTTTTTTTTTTCCAGTTGGGATTTCACTCTGCTGTCCAGGCTGGAGTGCAGTGGCCCGATCATAGCTACCACAACCTTAACCTCCTAGGCTCAGGTGATCCTCCCTCTTCAGGATCCTGAGCAGCTGAGACTACAGGTGCACACCACTATGCCTGGCTAATTTTTTGATTTCTTGTAGAGATAGAGTCTTGCTATGTTGCCCAGACTAGTCTCAAACTTCTGGGCTCAAGGGATCCTCCCACTTTGGCCTCCCAAAGTGCTGTGATTATAGGCATAAGCCACTGCGCCTGGCCAATTTATAAGTTTGACCTTACAGTCCCTTCTCACTGAGCCTCACATCCAAAAAATTCCCAGACACTTAACAGATCTTTGACTACATAATCCATTTTCTTTTAGTTTGAAGGGTACGCCATGTTCTGCTGAAGACAAACAGATGGAAATAACAAAAGTTTAGGTTTGATCCATTTATTATTATTGCTATTTATAGGTACATTCTCCCAATGCTCTGCCTTAAAAATCCCAATGATGCTTTTATACTTGAACACATGTCTCTTTCTGGTTTCCTTGTGCTGAAATGTTTGGCATCGCGATGTGAGGTATCTCTTAAGAACTAGAGGGGCAGCGTGTGGCATGAAATGTTCAAGAGTTCATGAAATTCACTGTACAATGCCCCTGGATACAGTCCCTCATCCTATTTAAAAAGCTTAAAGTTTCTGATTTTATGCAAAATAGAAAAGGAAACATGAATCACATAAAATGTAAGTGCAATTGAAAATAAAAATACACCTTAAATAAACATGTATAGTACACATTTGGCAAAACCTTCAGATAAGCCACAGAATCTTGGAAATTATCTTATAAAATTGTCTTTGTTCTTTCCCCTCATTTTCCTTAAAGTCGACCCCAAAGGGGCTTCTCACATTAGACATAATCAGCTTTTAGCTAAAGAAAATGTAGTAGTGAGGGAGGACTGCCAGAACCCCTCCACGAGATATTGTAGAAAAAGGATAAGCAGGAAAAACAAGTTCAAACACCAGAATTCTGATTAACATGAAATGAAATCAACTTCAACCTGGTAAATCCATTTTCAGACTGGACCCTTACTGGTTTTTCATTTTATACCCAATAACAGCATCAAACCTAACGTTGATTTTTCGTTTTAAAACTGCCAGGAAGCGCTCAGGAAGGATCCTACAAGAAAGACACATGAAAACGATTAGGAAATTAACGTGAAATACACCGGTAAAATACCTTCTTAAAAAATATGTACATTTAAGCTGGGCGAGGTGGCTCATGCCTGTAATCCCTGCACTTTTGGAGGCAGAGGCGAGAGGATTGCCTGAGTCCAAGGGGTTTGAGACCAGTCTGGGCAACTTGTTGAGACCTCATCTCTACAATAAATCAAAAAATTAGCCAGATGTGGTGGTGCATGCTTGTGCTTCCACCTACTTGGGAGGCTGAAGCAGAAAGATTGCCTGAGCCCAGCAGGTCGAGGCTGCAGTGGTCGTGAGTTTACCACTGCACGCCAACCTGGGAGACAAAGTGAGACTTCGACTCAAAAAAATCCCCAAAAAACAAAAATAAAATACTTTAATTTCTCATGTATCTTAAACAAGATTAAGAACTTTAAGTCACTACTGTATATTCTTTCTCATTAAATCCATTTCTTTTTCAAAAGGAAAAGGAAGGAAATTTGGTCTTTTTTTTTTTTTTTGAGTTGGAGTATCAGGTAATCCTCTCGCCTCTGTCTTCCAAAATGCTGGAATTACAGACATGAGCCACCACACCTGGCCGGCTTAGCCTTCTTAAGAGTAGGAGCAACCTGAAATATTTTGTTTTTGAAATGGATATATTCTTATATTTTCCAAAGATCTGAGAGGTGTACAGAACTGAATAGTTGAGATATTATGAGGAGGACCCCAAGAAAACCTGGAATGTATTTATAAAAAATTGTGTGTTTATTCTTATGTTTAAGCTTCAGTCACCTTCAAAGGACTCTCCGTTTGATGTAGTACACCTATCAAGATGCTCTTTCCACTGCTCAGAACAGTTTTTGAACTCGACAATTTGGATCCCTTGAAGTGCTTCTGCTGTTTTTTGTTTTTCCTCCTCCACATCGGCAAAATGTTTCCCTTTGAGGACTTTTTCCATCCGGGGAAACAAAAAAAAGTCTCTTGGGGCGAGCTCAGGTGAAGAGGGAGGGGGGGCATGGGGGTCTTGCCGTTTTGGGTCCAGAACTGCTGAACGCTCAGTACGGTGTGGGCAGGTGTGCTTGTAAATCACCCATCATGAAATGGGTAAATGTGTTGAAAGAATCTCAATACATACATAAGTAAATAAATTGAAGCTGAACGCACCCTCTCCCAACAACACTAGCTGGTACCCTGATGCTGGTGGGTTTCTAGAACACTTATCTTGTGGGGCAAGTCTGGACTATAAGGGGCCCACCCTCCAAAAGATAATTCTGTTTTTTGGGGGTCCCCCTTATAAAAGCTTTACAAAAAGAAACCTGACATTGAAAAGAAAGTAAGATCAGGAGCTAATTTTATAGTTTATAATCCAGAATATCATTGAAATGATCCACTAAGAGACTGGGGAACTAGAATTACTAAAATGTAAGCCGGGCTCGGTGGCTCAGCCTGTAATCCCGCGCCTTTGGGAGGCTGAGGTGAGTGGATTGCCTGAGCCCGCAGGTTCGAGACCCACCTGGGCAGCAAGACCTCATCTCCACAATAAATCAAAAAAATCAGCCGGGCGTGGTAGTGCATGTCTGTAATTTCGGCTACTTGGAAGGCTGAGGTGGAAGGATTGCCGGAGCCCAGCAGGTCAAGGCTGCGGTGGCCAGGAGCGGCCACTGCACTCCAGTCTGGGTGACAGAGTGAGACTCCAACTCAAAAAAAAAAAAAAAAAAAAAAAAGAAAATGCAGACAATACATCTGGCCTTGAGCACAAGGCTGAACAAATGACCTGACCTCTGAGCTTAAATTCTTCACATGTAAATGAAAAAAATGACCTGACCCTCAGTGTTCTTACATGGAATCAGTATGTGAATATAAGATGCCTTGAACAGTGATGGACACTAGCAGGTCTCACCGCTTTTCTCCCAACACTATACTTCAGAATATATAGGAAACTCATATTCCAGTGGGTCTGGGAGAAGCCAAACAGAATATGTAAGTCACTATAACAATCTACAGAGATTTGCCCAGAAGACAGGGTTTGGAAATAGAACACTGAACACTCATAGTCAGAGGGGAAGCAGGGAATTGGTAACAATAATATCAGTAGTTATAATAATAATAATAATACTGGGAGTAATAGTTTATTGGGTACCTACAGTGTACTGAGTACTTTAAATGCATTACTTTATTTATTTCTCTCAAACTTTTCCTTCCTTCCTTCCTTCCTTTTCTTTCTTTCTTTCTTTTTCTTTTGATAGAGATAGAGTCTCACTATGTTGCCCAGGCTGATCTCAAACTCCTGGGCTCAAGCAATCTTCCCTCCTCAGCCTCCCAAAGTACTGAGATTCCAGACGTGAGCTACCATGCACGGCCGGGGATTCTATAGTTCTGGCAAACTCCCAAGTGACACTGATGCCACCAGTTTGGGGACCACATCGAGGCTCAAAGGGCTCTCAAATTATGAGATTATTTAGCGATTCCCATGCTTCAGCATGACTTTGTGCAAAATAAAAGCTCAGTGATTATCATACGTATAGGTGTTACGAATACGTAACACCCAACACCTCCTTTAATGTCAACGTCCTATAATCCCATCACATAAAAATGCTTAAAACGATCCTTCATAGTCAGTCATTTTTAAGACAAGACTTCTAGAAATATTATATGTGGGAATTATTCAGTTCAAGTACCCAACAGCTATACCAATCTTGCTTTACTGATTAGCTCTTGTGGTTTTGTCAGTTGATGAGGTCTTTAAGTCTATTACTTATTTATTTATTTATTTATTTATATTAACTTCATTCCATTTAATTGCATTTAATCAGTGTATAATTTTAAATCTGAAAATATATAATTCAATCTGAAAAAGCTGATTGAAAAAAATATATATATAATAGATCATTTCTATTTCATTTCTAATGACAGATATGACATGACTTACCTTTCCAATACTGTTAAAAAAGCTATAGAAGATGGAATAAAAATCATCTTCTGCTCAGTCAGGATCCCTTTCATCAGCCTGTCTACCACTTGCTCGGGTTCCAGCGTGGGTCCCAAACTGTAATCAGAAACAAAACATTTTGCGAAAGTTTCAGCTTCAATCTGGTGCTAAACAAACCAGCTAAATTACCAAAGGAACCACAGCATAACTGACCTGTGGTGTCTACATCCCTCTACAGGGCACCCATAGGTGTTCAGAAATGGTAGCTACTTTACTATTATTACTTTACTGTTAATAATCATAGCACTCATTGATTTAGTGTGGATTATATACTGCACTGTGCTAAACATTCTACATTGGCCACCCCTTTCAAGTTTTACCTTTTGAAGGCAATATCATAATTCCTATTTCACAAATGAGAATTATAGAAGTAATTATGACTCCAAAAGAGTTTAGTTAGATTAGAAAGGACACGTTCACTTTTCAACTTTCAGCAGTCTCAGGGAAGGAGTCAGATACTGTTATACAAGTGTTATTATATACAAAGTCTCTTTGGTGAACATGTTCTCAAGCATCAGAGGAATGAAAAAGACTTGACAGGTATGAGTCCAGTTCTAGGTCCTTGGTCTCCATGGGGGAGCACTTCTATTTAAGTCTGGTTTTGTGACTTAGTTCCATATATCTGCACTGTATAATCACCCAGGTATATGCACTGCAGACTAGCAGATGGTCCCCAAAAAGTGGCTTAAAAAAATCTATATGTTCAGGCCAGGCTTGGTGGCTCAGCCTGTAATCACAGCACCTTGGGAGGCCAAGGCGAGTGGATTGCCTGAGCCCATGGGTTCGAGACCAGCCCGGACAACTTGGCGGGACCTCATCTCTACAATAAATACATGTAAAAAACTAACCAGGTGTAATAGTGTGTGCCTGTGGTTCTGGCTGCTTGAAAGGCTGAGATGGAAGGACCGCCGGAGCCCAGAGGGTGGATGCTGGGGTGGCCATAAGCGTGCCACTGCACTCCAGCCTGGGCAAAGGAGTGAGACTCCAACTCAAAATAAAATAACCGTATGTTCATAAGTTCACTGCAGCACTAGTCACAACAGCAAAAACACAGAACCCACTCTGCTGCCCATCAAAAGTGGACTGGGTAAAAAAAAAAAAAGTGGTACATATGCACAATGGAATACCACATAGCCACACAGAAGAACAAAATCATGGCCTTTGCAGCTACATGGATGCAGCTGGAGACCATCATATTAAGTCAACTATCACAGAAACAAAGAACTGAATACTGCATGTTCTCACTCAAAAGTGGGCCCTGATCACTGGTCATAGGAGCACAAGGGTGGGATCGGCAGACACTGGACACTGCTAGGGGAAAGGAGGAGGAGGGAGGAGGACATGTGGCAACACACTGGATCCCTGGTCCACTATGAGAGGAGAGAGGGCCAGTTAGAAGCCCAAACTCCACCTGCACACAACTTACATAGGCAGTAAATTCTCACTTGTGCTCCATCACTCTGAAATTAAATTAAATTAAACTAAAAAATAAAAATAAAAAATCTGCTTGTTACACAAGTGCATTTAGGGATGGGTGGCACAAGAATTGGTCCTGACTTTTAAACATTTTATTCACGACATAGGAAAAAGAAAAGATACATAATTAAATATACTCATGGCTGACATTTTGAGGAGGCTGATTTTTAATGAGTCAGATCAGTTAAGGGAAACAAAACGTACTGGAGGAAAGTTCTTTTGTTTTTGTTTTTGTTTCTGTTTTTTGAGTTGGAATCTCACTCTGTTGCCCAGGCTGAAGTGCAGTGGCACACTCACGGCTACCCAAGCATTGACTGGAGGAAAGTTTTTAGAAATGAATACAAAATAATTCACTCAGAAAGAAAAAAAGTGCTGTAAGGTAAAACTGAGACAGCGAGAAGTATAATCTTGAGCTGAAAGGTGACCATGACAATTGGGGGGCGGAGCTTAACATGCATGGTCTGAGCTCTCCTCAGCATAGCTCCCATTTCACAAATGGGGATAACAGATGTAACTAGGACTCAGAAGAAATTCTGCTAGATTAGGACTGACAGAGTCACTCCTCAACTTTCAGCCGTCTCAGGGAAGAAATCAGATCTAACTGTTCAAGTTTTATTATATGCTAAATCCCTTCAGCAAATAATTCTTAATTCAGTCATTTATTAGAATACTGTGTTTAAGACTGGGTGCAGTGGCTCATGCCTGTAATCCCAGCACTTAGGTGGCTGAGGCGAGAGGACTGCCTGAGCCCAGGAGCTCGAGACTAGTCTGAGCATCATGGCAAGACCTCGTCTCTACAATTGGAAAAAAAAAAAAAAACCAGTTGTGGTGGCATGCGCCTGTGGTTCCAGCTGCTTGGAAGGCCGAGGCAGAAGGATCGCCTGAGCCTTGCAGGTCGAGGCTGCGGTAACTGTTACCATGCCACTGTGCTCCAGCCTGAGTCGCAGAGTGAGACCCTGACTCAAAACAAACAAACAAAAAATGGCTTTTGGCTTAATGGAGGCAAAAAATCAAAGGCAACAGAAGTTTGAAGATTAAGCAGTCCTTTAGCCTATAGTGTAAGTAGGTATGGGTGCCAATGAGGATAAGCCCTGGAACTGAAGGATGCCATGCCTTGAAAAGCATTCAAGTCGGGCAGGGAGGCTGAGGCTGGAGGACTGCAGGAGTTTAGATCAGCCTGAGCAACACAGTGAGACCTAATTTCTACTTCCACAAAAATAAATAAATTAAATAAATTAGCTGGCATGGTGGCACATGCCTGTAGTCCCAGCTACTTGGGAGACTAAGGTGGGAAGATCGTCTGAACCCAAGACTGAGGCTGTAAGTCATGATGGTGCACTCCAGCTTGGGTGACACAGTGAGACCCTGACAAAGAGGGAAGAGGAGGAGGAAGAAGAAGGAAAAGCATTCAGAGGGAAATGCACATTTGTGGCACATTGCTACCAGTGTCCAATATTTCCATGCTCCATGAGCTTAAACACCTGTGTAAACAGCCCCGCACATACTCTCTAGTCCACACTGTGGCCTTGCACATCTGCCAGTCAAGTGTTGCTTCCCTGATGTCACTTTTCTTGGTACCCTTGATCTCGTCACGTAAAGTTCTTAGCCCCCGCCAGAGAACTCTTCATCGAAATAGAATGATTGCTTAATATCAGGACTTTAAAAGAGCCCAAAGAAAAGCCTTTCAGAAAAAACTCAATTTCTTGGCAGAATAACATCTTAGTCATTAAAATGTCAGTACATGGAAACATTTTTTTTCCTGACATTCTAATGTTAATGAGAGTTGCAAAGCCTATTAAACAAATGTTCTTAGTGGATTTTGTAGAAACTATCCCCAAAATACTTCAGGTCAATTTGTTGGGGGAAAGGGAAGGAGGGAACATGTAGAGGCAGCGGAATGCTGACGAGGAGGGAGTATTTTCAGCTAGAAGGAGCGTATTTGATCTGCTTTACCACCTAACTAGCTGAATAATTTTGGAAAACACTTCGACTCTTTAAAGCAGGGGTCTCCAGCCCCCAGGCACACACCAGTACCGGTCCATGGCCTGTTAGGAACTGGCTGCACAACAGAAGGTGAGCTGCAGGTGAGCCAGGGAAGCTTCATCTGTATTTACAGCCGCTCCCCATCACTGACTTTACTGCCTGAGCTCCACCTCCTGTCAGATCAGCAGCGGCATTACATCCTCATAGGAGGGTGAACCCTATTTTGAACTGCGCATGCGAGGAATCTAGGTTGTGTGCTCCTTAACAGAACCTAACGCCTGATGATCTGAGGTGAAGCTGATGTGGTGATGCTATCTATTTCATTATATATTACAATGTGATAATAATAGAAATAAAGTGCACAATAAATGTAACATGGTTGAATCATCCTGAAATCATTCTCCCCAGCCCCCACCATCCATGGAAAAATTATCTTCCATGAAACTGGCCCCTAATGCCAAAAAGACTGGGAACTGTTGCTCTAAAGCTCAGTTCCTAATCTGAAAAGTGGGGACCATGCAGTGGTTCGTGGCAAATAACTAACCACTGGCTCTCAGGGGACAAAACCCCCACTTCAGTAGCACTTGCTGATTTCCACAGTGTACATACTCCCACTGGGGCTGGTGTTAAGTGGTCGATATGACATCACTGAATGAGTATTGTACAAGCCAGCACCAGCACTTCCCTGGGAACATGATGTTTAAATGGAAATGTGGGCCATGTGTGGTGGCTCACACCTATAATCCCAGCACTTTGGGAGGCCGAGGCAGGAAGTTCAAGATCAGTCAGGGCAACATAGTGAGACCTAGTCTCTACAAAAAATTTAAAAAAGGAAAACAGCCGGGCATGGTGGTGTGTGCCTGTAATCCCAGCTCTTTGGGAGGCTGAGGTGGGAGGATTGCTTGAGTCCAGGAGTTCAAGACCAGCCTGGGCAACATAGTGAGACCTAATCTCTACAAAAAAAATCAAAAAATTAGCCAGAGTGTAGTAGTGCACACCTGTAGTCCCAGCTACTGGGATGCTGAGGTGGAAGGATCGCCTGTGTCAAGGAGGCTGAGGATGTGTTGAGCTGTGATTGTGCCACTGCACCCCAGCCTGGGCGACTGAGTGAAACTTTAACTCAAAAATATAAAAATAAATAAATAAATAAATGGAAATGTACATATAAGCACTTTAGAGTTATTCTATACAAATGTTACTTGAGTCACCTTCTTATGTAACATCATCTTTTTATGGTACTATCCAATAAGAACTAATATCTTTCTATGATACACACACTAACAGACACATCAATTTTTTGAGAAAAAATAAATTGTGTTATGTATATTATAAGTGGAAAGTAGATGTCTTAAAAAGATATTCAACAGAAATTCTTGGGTGCCAAAAATACCAAAAAACTCAGAAACCAAAAAACTCAGATTATGCTGACTGTTTCTATCATTAGTTGGAAAGAAAGAGATAACTTATTTTCGGAAAAAACAAAAACACTTCACAAAAAATTGTGTGTGCATGTGACAACATGAAGCAAAGCCTCTCAGAAATGAAGGGAGACACAGACAGTCTCAACAATAATAGTTGGAGACTTTAATTCCCATTTT